ACATGCAAATTTGTAATAAAATGGTAAATAAATGTAAGAAGATTATTAGATTGTAATTAGAGATACCGTATAGGGAAAAACATGGCAATGATGCAGGCCACTGGATTGGCTACCGCCGATAGAGCAGCTGACAGGTGATAGGCCATATTTCCATATGGCATACAGGAGAACGTCTGCACTGAGGGCAGCAGTCCGTTTGTTGCACTGTTCACCCACATAACCATAAAATAGATAAACGCCAGCTGATAGCCGGAGTGCAGTGGTTTAGGAAGCAGAACTCTGTTTCTCAGTTTTTCCTCTTCTTCTGGACTGTATGTCTTTGGATTGGGGTCCATGGGGCCCTCCAAACCCCTGCATACTGTTGTGACAGCATCTAAGTCTTGGACGAGATTTTCAGTGGATAGTTCAAATGTATGAGGCTGATGGTTTAATATGATGAAGGAACCCAGGCTTATTGCTGTCATTAAGGCCAGGAAGGAGAAGAAAATCTCAGTGGAGAAATTAGGAGGGAGGTACTGTGTCTCCATGATGAAGGTTGAGGGTTCGGGCTCAGTAAGGTTATCCGACACGTGCGACACATTGATGCATTTTGACATCCCGACTCCTTGCGCCAGCGCCACCAGCCCTGGAACCAGACCACTCAGCCCTTCTCCAATGAAGTATGTGGTGATGTATTTGGCCGGAAGTTGCATCATGAATGGCAGGAAGGTGACAGATGAGGTGCAGTCAACTAGAGCGAGAAAAAACGTGAGAATGAAAAATGCTGTGCTATGAGGTTGCCCGAGGATCACGGTGGTGTTCTTCCAAAACACAGCAAGCAAGACACAAGCTACAACACCAATTGACAAGACCGCATAGATGACCAGATTTTCACGTAGTCGCCCGGGACAGAATTTGTGTGCCAGGGTCACCAGCAGAGGACCTAAGTTGGCAAGCTGAATGATGACTGTGAGGTATGAGGGCAAATTCCAACCCTCCGGCAGAACATTGACTATCAGAGGAAGCTCCACCCACAAGCCATTGATGGACACCCAGGAGCCCAGACCGAAAGCACATGCCAGGGCATGGGCATACAGAGGCATACTGAACAAGTGGTTGAAATGGGTAGTTGAAGAAATATCTGATCTTAGACAACTCCTTTCAAATGTGTGACACTTCGGTATTGTATATGATATGACGCCACTTCAGTTCGGCTATGTTTTGATGTCTTCTCTTCTTGCCTTTGTGAAGACATCAGATTACCTTTAGTGAGAAACAGAAAAGAAAAATGTAGATGAAGAAGAAATCTTCAAGGTCTAGACGAAGTATTAGCAACTGAAACATGATGTGACATCCCTAAGGACAGATGGATCCATTGCTGGACCTTTGGAATAAATATTTAAGAATATATTTTATATACGATAGATTGATAGATAGATAGATAGATAGATAGATAGAGAGACATAATTTATATATAGAATTGTATTAAATCAAATTATATAATGTTTAACACAATACAAAGTACAAGTGCAACATAGCAATAAATAGATCACAAACAGGCATTACAACAATAAAATGTCAATTGCTATATTAAAGCTGCAGTCTGTAAGTTTTGCCTCTTTGTCGCCATCTCTGTTTGAAAACCTGGAATTGCAGCTGTGTGTGGAATTATCTAGCTTGCGTGGGTTGTGAGTCGGCACGGCTCCAGCGCTGATGAATCTAATGTTCTGAAGAGTATGTGTGGCTGTCAGTCTCCGCACCGGTGTGGATATTTACTGTACTTCGCAATCACAGATTCTAGCCTACGTCTTGGAATATGACCCAAATAAGAATTTTCACTGTACAGTGGGTACGGAAAGTATTCAGACCCCCTTAAATTTTTCACTCTGTTATATTGCAGCCATTTGCTAAAATCATTTAAGTTAATATAATTTAATTTCATTCACGTGTTTCATAAACACAATCCTTCATGGATTACAATCCGCCATCAAAATGATACATTTAATTATGCTGGCTGCTGTGAGAAAAGGCTATAAACGATCGGCCACCTGCAGGATCCTCACATGCGATAGATAGCCAGGTAGCCGGGACAAATTTATGTTTACAGACGTGACGTAATGACACAGAGGCATGCTTGAATTTCCCGCGAAAACCTACCCATATACCACTCAAATTAGAAAACATTATTATAAGCTAACCGTTGTGAATCTGGCTAAAGTAAGGCGATAGTTTTGAACACTGGCTGGTTATGTACTTGCTCAAATATTGATTTCGGATCATTTTTAACCAAAAAAAGTTAAGGACTGCAGCTTTAATATGGTTTGTTAATTGTAAATATATATGTATATATATAATTTTTTTTTTATTCCGTAAACATTTTAAATTCAAATATGAAATGTTAATTCTTGTTTATTCTGTTTAGTGGATCCATGTGTGGTCTTATTTTTATACAATCAAAGACTTAAATTTAAAATGAACTTTGAACAGTCTTTAGTCAAATTTGCACATATGTAACATTATAACAAACATCCAACATGATAACAATAGCAACATGTTAAAAATATTCAGTCAGCATTATTCAGCAAAAAATCTGATGCCAGTAACTCAAGACAAAAGATTGATTTATGTGCTACCTCGCTGAAGCAGCATGAAACAAATTTGATACTCACATTACTGCTGAGGCAATGAGCCGGACTGAACACGCTCTTCCTCCTCCACAGACATTAGTGTGTGCTATACGCACAGTTATGTCATAGAAAAGACTGGTCCGGTGTCCCCTTGTTACCGGTTAACTTCTTAACTCCGTCTAAAGATGTCCACAGTGATATGTGATTTTTAACCTCAGCGTATGAGTGTGGGTGGGTCTACCTCTCTCATGAAGGTCATCCTGCTGCTCTAATAAGGAGCATTATTCTGGTCACATGACTGGCTGCACAAAAAAGCTATTTTAGCTGGTCCAGTTTTTCTGCAAAACTCTTGTTGAACGATAGCATTGACATCGATATGTAAAGTGTGCATCCACAGTGTTCAGTGAACAGTAAACTTTTGACTTGTAGGCCTTTTGTGCTTCTGAGATGTATAATGATCATTTAATTGTGAACAGAATATTCTGAACTCTTTTGTAGTGTGTTCTTTGACCCTATTCAACAGTCATCTGTCTTCAAGACGAACAAACGTCATAAATGACACCTAATATTTGAGCTGTAGTCCTTGACTCTGAAGTCAGTCTTCATGTGGAACTTTGAGCACTCATAATAGGACACACTGAACATTTTACAAAACATTTAACTTGCCATAGCTGTTTCTTTTATATTATTTTTGATAGCAGGTCAAATCAAAGTTAATGAATCAAAACATCACAAGCCATTGTGAATTTATAGCTCATTTAGGCTCAGCATACAGTTTAAATGCAGCTTGTACATAAAAATAAAGATTTATTGTAACTATTACCACATTAAATAAAGGCTTCAGTCTGTGTAGACAGGACCCATGAGAGCATAAGTATGATTCTGAACATAAATCACATCAGATATCAGACAAAGGTCAATGACTTGACGCCAGATTGGAAAATCTCTGTCAGAGAGAAGGCTATTCCATAAAAATATTAAGCAGCACAAGTGTTTTCAGCATTAATAATAATAAGAAAAGTTTCTCGAGCACAAATCACCATCACAGGAATAAACAGGGTTATTTTAAATTGTAATAATATTTCCCAGTATTACTGTTTTCACTAAATATTTTGATCAAATAAATGCAGCCGTAGTGAGCATAAGCAACTTCTTTCAAAAACATTAATAAAACCATTAAATAACATTTAAGAGCACTGGAAATTGTGTATAATCTAATATCATTTTTGGGGATTTTTAGATCATTTCCTTTATTTTTCAATACTGAAAATCTTCACAGTGCCCACATACAGCCATGGATTTTGTTTAGTTATGAAATATATAAACTACAACTTTTGTTATTGAACTCACACAAAAAAATTACAAAAAGTGGTTCCGTTTCTATAAATATAAATGTATTATTTATATTTATTATTTGTGACCCTGGAGCACAAAACCAGTCTTAAGTCGCTGGGGTATATTTGTAGCAAGAGCCAAAAATACATTGTATGGGTCAAAATGATAGATTTTTCTTTTATGCCAAAAATCATTAATGGAAAGCAAGGAGCCTAAAAAAAGTTTAACACTCTAATTTTGCAAGTTTGATAATACAATCACTTAGTTAGCACAATATCAATCTCATTTACACACTGCACACCAAATTAGTAACATTTCTTTTGGAAAGCAAGGAGCCTAAAAAAAGTTTTTTAACACTCTAATTTTGCAAGTTTGATAATACAATCACTTAGTTAGCACAATATCAATCTCATTTACACACTGCACACCAAATTAGTAACATTTCTTAAGCAAAATCCTTCATTTTTGTGGGTTTATATAATAATTAGCCCTGCAGAACAACAAGCTTAACCAGAAAAAAGCACAATCTTCCCTGCATCCCCACATCACGATCACAGGCTGCTCAGGCTGCAGCTCATCCACCATTTATCAATAGGAAATAAGCTTAGAAATGTTACAGCTGGCGGAGTCCTTCACGATCAGTATATTCAACAACAACAAAAAGAATAAGAAAAAAAAGTAGAGCTATGTAATATGATATGACAGTCCACACTGTGCGATGTAGAATGTAGGAGAAAATGTCATCATAAAAACTTAATGGAAACCTACAATACAAGTGGAGTCCGATGACAAATGTAACATTTTACTAAATCAAATTGGTTTAAGCTCCAGTTCCCTGTACATTGAAAATCACCACTGGAGTGGTGCACCGATCGAACACACCACAACAGATCTATTAGCTGAGCAAAATTAAGTTTGGCATCTTGTATCAGCATAGAAATATATATTAGTCGACTGTCAAAAATACCACAATATTCCACTAAACAAATCTTCCTGAATTCAGAAAAGGAAGAAAATAAGATGTAACACATGAATCAGCTCAAAACACCTCAACTTTTTTACATGAAGACACATGTTTTTAGCCCTCTGTGTCAAAGAGCCAAAATGCCTTGAGTTTACTGCACTTTATCCCCAAACAAGAGAAGGGTGAGAGCAAGAGATATCAGTCTCAAAGGCCAAACCCAAGAGCATAGGCCAGTCCCTCAGAAACAAGCGAGTCAGCAAAGCTTTGAGCAGTTGAAGGATGAGAAGGTGTCCAGAAAAGAGCCCACTTTGTTCAAGTATTGGCATTTTACATTTGCTTAATTTTTTGCACTTTAAAGAGTTTTAAACATTTCACAGAAGTCTCAAGTTTTCAACAAGGATTTAGAAGTTTGGATCTTTAGAGTGAGCAGGTGGGATATTGCTTTCAATCACTCTGTCGACCCCCTTTCTCTTAACTGTTTTGAAGAATTGATGGCTTTCTAATTTGAGCTTTGATATCTTGCCATTCCTCTTGTTCTGTCTGAGGGAGGACAAACAGAGAAAGACTGTTCTCCTAAAAGCAGGTCTGAGGTAGGGCAGGTAGGTTGGTGGCAGAGGACAATTACTTGGATTTCTGGGCCCATCTGAGGTCATCTGATCTGGGTTTCTCTCCTGTCAGGCTCTGGATCAGATCTTCCAGGTTTCTCCAGAATCCCAGTTTTTCTAGAGGATAGTTCAACCAGCCTGCACATACAAAGACATTTGGGTCAATTACATATAACAGTATAATTGACATAAATTGATAATAAATATATAATTGAGTTTCCATTATGAAGAAAATAAAAAATCTAGATTAACATACATGTTCAAAAAATGGTTAAATTTAATGGATCTGAAAATGTTGTGGGGTGTAACCATCAAGTAAAAAATTAAGTTTTCTTTCACTCTGAATACATGTAAAGTGTACATATCTTACACGTACACCGCTGTTCAAAACTTTGGGGTTAGTAAGATGTTTTTTAATTATTATCATTATTTATTTATTTTGAAAGAAATTAATATTTTTGTTCCGCAAGGATGTGACAGAAAAGACTTTTACATTGTTCCAAAAAAATAACAAATCTATTTCAAATAAACGCTGTTCTTTTGAGCTTTCTATTAAAAACTGTACCATGATTTCCACAATAATATTAAGCAGCACAACAGTTTTTTTAACAGTGATAATTATAAGAAATGTTTCTTAGGTACCAAATCAGCATATCAGAATGATTTGAATGATGAAAAATCAAGAATCATGTAACACTGAAGACTAGAGTAATGGCTGCTGAAAATTAAGCTTTGCTATCACAGGCATAAATTACATTTTAAAATATAATAGGAAACATGTTTTAAGTTGTAATAATATTTTACAGTATTGCTGTTTTTACTGTATTTTTTGATCAAATAAATGCAGCCTTGGTGAACATGAGACTTCTTTCAAAAAATCTTACTGACCCCAAAATTCTGAACGATAGTGTACATAAAACAGACGATAAAAAAACGCCGATATATACTGCCACAGAAAGTGTGATTAAGCGAGGAGGATATGAGCACAAACGTGCGTATTGTGTGTGTGTGTGTGTGTGCATGTACCTGTGGTAATGCAGAAGTAGGTTTCATGAGGTGAAACATGGTGAACTCTGTGGTGTTTCCGTGGTAAAATGATGTGACAGCCCTGAAGAAACGTCACCCAGCATGGAAGCCCAAAATATGTGTGCGACCACTTGTGAATCTGATTTGTCAATGTAACAAAAATGGCTAAAGCAAAGACGTAACAGTACCAGGGGTAGTTCCGATAGATCTCAGCTGAAGACAAAGAAAGAGAACAGCACGATATGAGACACGGAGTCAGAAATTAATTTGGTTCATCATTTGTCTCTCCGATGGACAGATAATATATCTGACATTTTACCTGGTGAGAGCATCAAGAAGTTTGCGGTCATGTTCGCCAGAGGGATGATAGTCAACATACAGTTATCACCATTTGTCTCAATGAAATCATGCCGCGTTATAGCTGTTGGATCGATGTGGTGTTCTCGAAATGGACGAATGAAGGCCTGGGATGGAGGAAAAGCTCATTTTTTAAGAGAAATAACTGTGTGTGTACAATTTAGTAGTTGAGAATATTTTCCTGAGATTCATATTTTCTTTAAAAGATCTTTAACGTGAAGACGTTTAAAAGATGTTTAACGTACAAACACAAATATTAAAGTCACCATGAAATCGAAAATGACGATTCTAATTTTTTTACAGTGTTGTAGAATTTATTATAAATAATTTATTCCTGCACATCGTTTTTTTTTTTATTAATTTGCACTTATAATCTTTAATTAAAAACATTAACCTCCCCTCCCCCTCTCAACGACATCTCATCTCTTCATGACATAAAACTCGGAAAAGGGGTTGGACTATACTGACTGTCTAATGGAAAGGCATTTTGAAGGAGTTTGATTGACATGCGATCTAACCAATCATAATGCCGAATCCAAACAAACCATACAGGAGAGTTAAGCCTGGAATACACTACACGATTTTTGCCCTGATTTTCCGCTGATTTACAGTCTGGAGAAGTTGACGCTAGTTGCCGAAAGTCAGAGCCAGTCTGCAAATTTGAGTTGACAGATTTCATAGAAAATTGCGTAGTGTATGAAGGTCACAGACTTCAGCTGGTGATTCCATTCAGTCGGAGGAGATCAAACATGTTTGATATTTTTAGCCGATTATAGAAAACATGTCTTCATTTGTCACACGTCTCCAAGAAACAAGGCACACATTTCTGCATGAGTTTGTTGTGATCGGAAGAACTTGAAAGTCTGGTAGTGTGTGATCCGCAGTCGTGTAGTGTATGATGGCCAGTCACTATTTACAAAGTCAGTAAGTGTATGATGCCTAGTGTTTTAAAAATCTGTTCAGATTTTAAAAGTCATGTAGTGTATTCCAGCCTTTAGTAGATTAATGTCAGTAGAGTCGAACTTGAAAATTGTGTATTGACATCTTTTCTTTGCTCCTCTATGTATTTTTCACTGCGTGATGATGTGTGGCATGAGAACGCAATCGCCTCAGTTCAAACGTCATGTGAACCGATAATCTCTTCCTCTTTACTACTAGTTATAGCATGAAATAAACATGAATGAACATCAGAGTTATGTTGTCTCAACCGCGGAAAGAAGTCAATACACCATAGTTCACTGACGTTAATCTAACACTCCTGTTTGGTTTGTGATTGGTCAAATCACCTGTTAATCAAACTCCCAGCAAAGGGTGAGGGTGAAATCACGTCCCACCCTACATTTTTCTCATTACAGATGCCGTTCCACTCGTATATACCTCATAATAGGGAAGAAAAGACTATCGCAACTTCCATTTCACACCAACTTTAAATGTCATATTTTATTCAATGTTTTATCTTAAATAACTCTGGCAACACTTAATAACATGTAAATGAGTGTTTTACTCCTGTACCTTCCCAACGATGGGCAGATCCACTGAACCCCATGTGTCAGCACCCCAGTGGACCAAACCAGAGGCAAAGTCTGCTGTCAGGATCCCTGCCACTACACACACACACACACACACACAAACATACACACACAAACAGCAATCTGATTATTAAATCAATCTCTAAATCCTGTTATAAACCAAAAGGTCTTTCAGTTCCCATAAAAAGGTAGTTTTTGGTAGTTGCTTGTCACACAGAGAAAAATTCTAGCAGCTTCTAAAATTCCTGAATTCTAGGAATTTCAAAGTTGTATTTTGTAACTTCTTTGTTGTGTCTAACCACGACTTTATTAAACACTGGCAGGTATATGTGGGTTTGTTTGTTGTACCAACCGATGCCCATGAGGATGTACCAGGTGTGTCCCAGGTGGAAGTATGTTACCAGGCAACAGAAGTTGAAGGCCATGAGGGTAAAGCAAAAAAGCACACTGATCCATTCCTGACATCTTTTTCCTGTGAGAAAGAGGCAGAGTCAATACCTTTTAAATGGCAGACTTTAGTCAACAGGGTCCAAAAATAACAGCAATGCACTAAATTTGAATAAAAATGATTATATAATTTATTATAAATTCTTTACTGAAGTGTGTTAGCAACCTCAACCCTTAACCATTAGGCTACTGCAGATCAACCAAATAAACCCAATTTTCTTATAGAAAAATAAATCTCCCATGGTCTTCCAAGAGAACAAGTGGCTAAATACAAATCAACAATACAGCCACATAAAGAGAGTAACTATACTGGCAGCTAATATTCCAATATAGCATAATTATCATACTGTATAGAAACCATCTATTATTTGAATAAATGTTTATGACAATATGAGACAGATGGATATGCTATGAGCTTATATGAAAGCAATGCTCTCAATGTCACATTGTTTCATTTCACAGCTACAATTATGTGCCGAGGGCAAATTCCCTGAATTCGGTGCAGAACCACTTTGCAGAAAATATCTGAAGTGACCAAAGAACATGATTCACCACATTTGACAGAAGCTTTGTTCCAAGGTGTCTGATTCATTCAGAGTTAATCTGATACCGAAATACTTAGAGTCAGAAAACACCCTGACCCTGAATCACCATAGTGACTGTAAACAGGACAAGACTATCAGAGGACACTGATGTGAAGTTAGAGAAGCACTGAATTTAATGCTACCCAGAAACCCACATCGGTCCTGCTTCATTTGACATTGAACAGCAGCACCCCACCCACACCAACTCCAACAAACTCAAACGTGTCCGAGTTACCACACCCTCACACTGCTCTCCTTACTGTGACATTTTGTTTCCGCTCCTGTTCTGTCCTTGTGTTCATAGAAATCATTTGTCCCCTACACAATGTCCACTGTTCCCTGCTGGTACTGATGGAGTTCCTACTCCCGCGGTACACTCAGATTTTCTGAGCACAAACTATTCAACTATTGTGGGCTTTGGTTTTGTGTGAACCTCTTGTGCTAATACTATAAAATACATTATTTGTTGTTATTCATCTTTTAACACAGTGTAATCAGCCATTTCTATTAAGATAAAAACAAAGAGTCAACCCGACACCGTCCTTATATGTGTTCTCAAAAAGTTTACATATGAATGTCTCTTATACAGTATTCAATAGAGCCAGTTTTGGACTTTGTACTGATTCCTATTGGCTTGGGTACATTAAGTTTGTTTACTAACTGCAGCCACTTCACATCGAGGATGTTTGTTATCTTTTTTGTGTGGTCTGACAATGCTGTTATGGTGCAGTCACATTTAGCATCACATTTTGGTTTCAAAAGGAATCCACGGGATTGGAAGTGTTGCGTGAAGTTGAGAGATGTCCCCATGCGGATTTCGCAATGGGTTCAAGCTGGTCACGAATTCACTGCGTTGACCAACAGAAAGCTACTTTGTTTAAAAATGACTTCTGTGTTAGCTGTGGTTCATATATCACTATAGTATTGACAATGGACAATAGACTTCTTCGCTAATTTGAATGCACCTTTAAAATTAACTTTACTTGTTTTGTTTACATTAAAGGGATAGTTCACCCAAAAATGGAAATTCTGTCATAATTTACTCACCCTCAAGTTGTTTCAAACCTGTATGGGTTTCTTTCTTCTGTTGAGCGCAAAAGGAGATATTTTGAATAATGTTAGTAACCAAACATTTGACAGTAGCCATTGACTTCAGCAGTATGGAAAAAAACATACTATGGAAGTCAATGGCTACCGTCAGCTGTCTAGCATTATTATTAAAAATATATTTTGTGCTCAATAGAAGAAAGAAACTCACACAGGTTCGGAACAAGTGGAGGGTGAGTAAATGATAGAATTTTTTATTTTTGGGTGAACTATCCCTTTTGACTGTTATGTTAATGCTTTGCGAATCACATAAAACACTTGACAAACCTGCTATATGCAGTAAATAGTATTATTTTAAGTAAAGCAGTCCATTGCAATTAGTGTCACCCATGAAGGGGCAACCCACTCCATGTAGAAAAAGACAACTTCTTCTAGTCTGTAAGTCTTGTAATGTTATATTTTTAAACAGTTTTTTTTATATATTAAAAAATTACTGAGTGCATGCATAACTATTAATCTATGTAGTAATCAAGAAATCAAAGCTATCTCCTGTCAGTATCAGACAGCTTCAAGTACCACAACTATTTCTGGCACAGAATTACATCCCTTGAGACTATAAGAGATAGATGAGCAAAAAAGGTATGATTAATAACCTATTTTGGTCAAATTTGCTACAGACAATAATGTTCCACTCATCAGATAACTGGCATCACTAATGGGGCGCTTAGCTCTTTCAAACTCGTTGCCACATAAACATAACTATCCATCCTTATGCTACAGTAATAACTGCGTCGTGTTAACCCCCGCAGAGATCCCAGACTGAATGCTACGTGCACTTTCAAAACAGACTACTTTAGATTACGAGGCGACTGCTACGGCTCCGTGACCGTGCTGTTCGGGGCTGTCCATGGGGAAACTCGTGGCTGGCAGTCCGTTGAGTCCCTGTTGTGGGCAGAGGCGGGCGGATACCGGCGCCGACGGTAAACGTAAAAAAAACAGTTTAAAATCTCACCTGGCGAGTATAACTCCGCAAGCTCTCGAGCACCTGCATGCTGTGGACCCCATCTCGCGCCCGGCTGGTCCGATCCACTTGGCTCGGGTGTGTGAAAGTTTTCCGAGGACCCGCTTTTGCTCTCGGTGCTCGCCATATTCAGTCCGGTTCGGGCGCAGCGGATGCGTTGATTCCGCATCCTGAACTCCACGCCTCTGTTCGCCCTTTTCCGCGTCTCTTCCCTCCACCAATTGCGTTCGTCCGTCTGCAGCATTCATCCAATCAGCAATTAGAATACGTTCCCATAACAAACATGACGATCAATCAGAAAGCAAGAATGTCCTGGCCCCACCTGGATGCAACCAATCAGAAAACAGGGTACACTGACGGTAAAATTGTGGTTTGTATGGATGGTGGTATTTTTCTGTGCATTGTATAAATACTTATTTTCATGTTTTTAAAAATCAAATGAAATGTAGTCTTTTTAGTTTGCAAACTAAGTATAATGTCACTTCACAAGTCAAAGGAGTAGATGCGAAATACGATGTCTATGGAACAAATAACAGAACTTTTCAAGTCAAAGAAGTAATTAGTTCATTCAAATGAAAATATTTCTTCCAAAAAAAAAACTGTCATAATTTATTCGCTCTTATTTTGGTCCAAACAATCCATGTGACACTCACAATCACAAAAGATGCCAATAAATCTACTAAATAAAGTTCATAATTTAAAATAGTGTTTAGTACAGTTAAATGAACATCAGTTCTGTAGACTGTGTCAAAATTACGACTTGGCATTCATGTATGATTTTACAGTCAAGAAGGTCAAGATTTCTGACAGAGGACAGTCCAAAATCACAATACAGACATTTGATATGTGTTCAGGGGCGTAGCCATCATTTCAAAAGTGGGGGGGACGGAATGTCTAGTGTTATACCTGTTTTTTCCCTCGTCTAATTGACAGGTTTTATTTTTAATCATACCTTTTTTGCTTTATATGCTTTATGCTTATATTATTATATATGATTATAAAACAGAAGAAAGAGAGAAAGAAACAAAGAGAAAGAAAGAAAGAGAGAGTTGATGTAGGATTTGCGTCGCAGGTGCTCTATAAAAATAACGGAATGTGTAGACAAAAAATGTCTACAATAAAATATGATATAATGATAAATTACACATAAATTAATAATAATATAATACACAATATTGGAGATAAAATTCACGTGAAAATGTATAGAATTTAACTACGTGCTTACAGCTTAATGAGTCGGTTCTTGCAAGACGTTGCATTAGATGGGGGATGTTCAGGAACTGAATAAGAAAATGAAATATTGAGAGAGACACAAGCCGTCTGCTTCTCCAGAGCAGTGGTTCCCAACCGGGGTGCCGTGTAAAAAAAATATTTTTTAATATTTTTAAATTGCTAAAATGTTCATAAAAGCAGCTATTATATAATATCCATTTCTGATGTCGCCAATAATTAGAGATGCACTGAAATTCCGGCTGCCGAAAATGAGTTCACCGCTCAGGTTTCACTTTCACGTGGTGTGACGCTCTGTGTATTATCCCGTTCTATGTGTGGGTGTGTGTGTGTATTCTCGCGCTCTATGTGTGTGAGTATATTATCCCGCTCTGCGTGTGTATTATCCCGCGCTGTGTGTGTGTGTGTCTGTGTGTGTATTATCGCGCTCTATATGTGTGTGTGTATATTATCCTGCTCTATGTGTGTGTATTATCGCGCTCTATATGTGTGTGTGTATATTATCCTGCTCTATGTGTGTGTATTATCGCGCTCTATATGTGTGTGTGTATATTATCCTGCTCTATGTGTGTGTATTATCGCGCTCTATATGTGTGTGTGTATATTATCCTGCTCTATGTGTGTGTATTATCGCGCTCTATATGTGTGTGTGTATATTATCCTGCTCTATGTGTGTGTATTATCGCGCTCTATATGTGTGTGTGTATATTATCCTGCTCTATGTGTGTGTATTATCGCGCTCTATATGTGTGTGTGTATATTATCCTGCTCTATGTGTGTGTATTATCGCGCTCTATATGTGTGTGTGTATATTATCCTGCTCTATGTGTGTGTATTATCGCGCTCTATATGTGTGTGTGTATATTATCCTGCTCTATGTGTGTGTATTATCGCGCTCTATATGTGTGTGTGTATATTATCCTGCTCTATGTGTGTGTATTATCGCGCTCTATATGTGTGTGTGTATATTATCCTGCTCTATGTGTGTGTATTATCGCGCTCTATATGTGTGTGTGTATATTATCCTGCTCTATGTGTGTGTATTATCGCGCTCTATATGTGTGTGTGTATATTATCCTGCTCTATGTGTGTGTATTATCGCGCTCTATATGTGTGTGTGTATATTATCCTGCTCTATGTGTGTGTATTATCGCGCTCTATATGTGTGTGTGTATATTATCCTGCTCTATGTGTGTGTATTATCGCGCTCTATATGTGTGTGTGTATATTATCCTGCTCTATGTGTGTGTATTATCGCGCTCTATATGTGTGTGTGTATATTATCCTGCTCTATGTGTGTGTATTATCGCGCTCTATATGTGTGTGTGTATATTATCCTGCTCTATGTGTGTGTATTATCGCGCTCTATATGTGTGTGTGTATATTATCCTGCTCTATGTGTGTGTATTATCGCGCTCTATATGTGTGTGTGTATATTATCCTGCTCTATGTGTGTGTATTATCGCGCTCTATATGTGTGTGTGTATATTATCCTGCTCTATGTGTGTGTATTATCGCGCTCTATATGTGTGTGTGTATATTATCCTGCTCTATGTGTGTGTATTATCGCGCTCTATATGTGTGTGTGTATATTATCCTGCTCTATGTGTGTGTATTATCGCGCTCTATATGTGTGTGTGTATATTATCCTGCTCTATGTGTGTGTATTATCGCGCTCTATATGTGTGTGTGTATATTATCCTGCTCTATGTGTGTGTATTATCGCGCTCTATATGTGTGTGTGTATATTATCCTGCTCTATGTGTGTGTATTATCGCGCTCTATATGTGTGTGTGTATATTATCCTGCTCTATGTGTGTGTATTATCGCGCTCTATATGTGTGTGTGTATATTATCCTGCTCTATGTGTGTGTATTATCGCGCTCTATATGTGTGTGTGTATATTATCCTGCTCTATGTGTGTGTATTATCGCGCTCTATATGTGTGTGTGTATATTATCCTGCTCTATGTGTGTGTATTATCGCGCTCTATATGTGTGTGTGTATATTATCCTGCTCTATGTGTGTGTATTATCGCGCTCTATATGTGTGTGTGTATATTATCCTGCTCTATGTGTGTGTATTATCGCGCTCTATATGTGTGTGTGTATATTATCCTGCTCTATGTGTGTGTATTATCGCGCTCTATATGTGTGTGTGTATATTATCCTGCTCTATGTGTGTGTATTATCGCGCTCTATATGTGTGTGTGTATATTATCCTGCTCTATGTGTGTGTATTATCGCGCTCTATATGTGTGTGTGTATATTATCCTGCTCTATGTGTGTGTATTATCGCGCTCTATATGTGTGTGTGTATATTATCCTGCTCTATGTGTGTGTATTATCGCGCTCTATATGTGTGTGTGTATATTATCCTGCTCTATGTGTGTGTATTATCGCGCTCTATATGTGTGTGTGTATATTATCCTGCTCTATGTGTGTGTATTATCGCGCTCTATATGTGTGTGTGTATATTATCCTGCTCTATGTGTGTGTATTATCGCGCTCTATATGTGTGTGTGTATATTATCCTGCTCTATGTGTGTGTATTATCGCGCTCTATATGTGTGTGTGTATATTATCCTGCTCTATGTGTGTGTATTATCGCGCTCTATATGTGTGTGTGTATATTATCCTGCTCTATGTGTGTGTATTATCGCGCTCTATATGTGTGTGTGTATATTATCCTGCTCTATGTGTGTGTATTATCGCGCTCTATATGTGTGTGTGTATATTATCCTGCTCTATGTGTGTGTATTATCGCGCTCTATATGTGTGTGTGTATATTATCCTGCTCTATGTGTGTGTATTATCGCGCTCTATATGTGTGTGTGTATATTATCCTGCTCTATGTGTGTGTATTATCGCGCTCTATATGTGTGTGTGTATATTATCCTGCTCTATGTGTGTGTATTATCGCGCTCTATATGTGTGTGTGTATATTATCCTGCTCTATGTGTGTGTATTATCGCGCTCTATATGTGTGTGTGTATATTATCCTGCTCTATGTGTGTGTATTATCGCGCTCTATATGTGTGTGTGTATATTATCCTGCTCTATGTGTGTGTATTATCGCGCTCTATATGTGTGTGTGTATATTATCCTGCTCTATGTGTGTGTATTATCGCGCTCTATATGTGTGTGTGTATATTATCCTGCTCTATGTGTGTGTATTATCGCGCTCTATATGTGTGTGTGTATATTATCCTGCTCTATGTGTGTGTATTATCGCGCTCTATATGTGTGTGTGTATATTATCCTGCTCTATGTGTGTGTATTATCGCGCTCTATATGTGTGTGTGTATATTATCCTGCTCTATGTGTGTGTATTATCGCGCTCTATATGTGTGTGTGTATATTATCCTGCTCTATGTGTGTGTATTATCGCGCTCTATATGTGTGTGTGTATATTATCCTGCTCTATGTGTGTGTATTATCGCGCTCTATATGTGTGTGTGTATATTATCCTGCTCTATGTGTGTGTATTATCGCGCTCTATATGTGTGTGTGTATATTATCCTGCTCTATGTGTGTGTATTATCGCGCTCTATATGTGTGTGTGTATATTATCCTGCTCTATGTGTGTGTATTATCGCGCTCTATATGTGTGTGTGTATATTATCCTGCTCTATGTGTGTGTATTATCGCGCTCTATATGTGTGTGTGTATATTATCCTGCTCTATGTGTGTGTATTATCGCGCTCTATATGTGTGTGTGTATATTATCCTGCTCTATGTGTGTGTATTATCGCGCTCTATATGTGTGTGTGTATATTATCCTGCTCTATGTGTGTGTATTATCGCGCTCTATATGTGTGTGTGTATATTATCCTGCTCTATGTGTGTGTGGGTGTGTGTGTGTATTATCCCGCTCTATGTGTGTGTGTATTATCCCACTCTATGAAACATTATTTGGATAATTGGTAAAAAAAAAAAAAAAAAAACTCTTAAT